GATGGTAAAAGCTCGTGATAGGGGCTTCTTGCAGTTCTTGATGAACACAGAGTTCCATGAGTCTGGCCCTGGGGCAGAGTGCATGGGCATGTCATTTATCGCCTGTTTGAAGTCATTTGGCATCAGGATAACATTGGATAGGCTTGTGTTAACCAAATTTTGTGGCTCTCTCATAAAAAATTCATTTTGATCTTCGACTCTCAGTCTGGTTAGCGGCTTGCTAAAAACTGAGTCATATTGGGACTTGAGTAGCTCACTCATTTCCTTGCTGTCATCTGTGTAGGACCCATCTTGTTTAAGTAGGGGCCCAATACTGGACGTTGTTCTCGACTTTGATTTTGCATAGGAGAAGAAATACTTTGGGTTTCTTTCGATTTCATTTATGGCTTTTAGTTCTTCCCGCGATTCCTGACTCCTATAAGATTCCTTTAGCTTAAGTTCGATGCTTGCTATTTCTCTGACCAGTGTCTCCCTACGCCTTTCAGATATATTGACCTCTTTTAGCCGCTCTGTTATTCTTTTCCGTCGCCTGTAAAGGGAGCGCCTGTCCCTTTCTATTTTACATCTACTCCTCCTTTTTCTTAGAGGAATAAGCCTTGTGCATACATCGAGCGCCACCGAGTTAATCTGTTCTAGGCATAAGTTGGGGTCTGTGTTGCTTAGTATATCTTCCCAGCTTATATCAGTTAGGATTTGGTTTACTTGGTCCCACTTTATGTTTTTGTTATTGAAGTTAAATTTGGTGAATGCTCCCTCATGACTAATCTCATTATGTTGGTCTGGGGCTCCGCGCATACATGTCTGAACCTCAATTATGTTGTGATCTGAGTATATTGTTTTTGATATGGTGACATTTCGTATCAGATCTTCATTGTTAGTGAAGATGAGGTCTAGTGTATTCTCCAGTCTAGTAGGCTCTATTATTTGCTGGTTTAAATTGAATTTTGTGCAGAGATTTAAAAGCTCGTGTGAGTGTGAGTTTTCATCAGAGCTGCCTCCTGGTGTTATTACTGCAACAATATTATTTGCTATATTCCTCCATTTTAGGTGCCTTAAGTTGAAATCCCCCAGGAGTAAGATGTTGGGTGCAGGAGCTGGCAGATTTTCCAGACAGTGGTCAATTTTTAACAGCTGTTTCTGGAATTGCTGGGATGTTGCATCCGGAGGCTTGTAGACTACCACAATGACTAGGTTTTGGTTCTCGATCTTTACTGCTAAAACTTCCACTACATCATTTGAGGCATTCAGCAGTTCTGTGCACACAAGTGACTCTGCAATGTACAGGCCCAAACCCTTCAAAATCTTTCTTAATTTCCATACTAATTCTCACCCTTTTTACCACAGGGTTGGCACTAGAAGCTTTCTTGGGGCCCATGGTGACTTATCACTAAAAACGCTGTGATAATATGAAATGTTCCGATTGTATGTTTGGTTTGGATGCGACTGTGGTGGCTGGCTTGTAAACACTGGCACCCATGGGACAAGTGAGGCACGCTCAGGCCACACGTGGACGCGTCTGTGTTAAAATGTATCACTAGGTGGATTTAACGTTATGCGATGTTAGGCGAGGGTCCACTGTATTTACTAATCTAATATGGAAGTCCAAACAAATGTATTATGTAAACGGATTTAATGAAATAAGAGGTGATATGAAAAAGACCTGGAAAACTCTCTCTGAAATTTTAGGCTCTAGAAAACTGTCTAGAAACAGAGAGATTAACTTGGTGAAACCAGATGACCCACACATATAGCCTATAGATAATGCCAACAAACTTAATGTCTTCTCTTCTACTACAGGATCAAAGCTAGCAAGCAAAATCCCAAAAGCAAATACTCAGCCACAAGACTACCTCACTTGTAATTGCCCACATACTCTACTGTGTAGGCAAAACATTTCGGAATAAAGTTGCATAACTGTTGCCCATGTGTCTTACCTACTAACCTGTCGGACACTGCAACACAAGGGCATCTTGGTACGGAAGAGAAATCACCTTGGATAACTTTTTCAAATTTGAATTGTTGGATCTGAGAGGGACGTAATCTATCAGTGACTACATTCTCTCTACTACCACCCTGCACGTCTCCTTCTGACAGTATATAAATCTCCACACTGTTGCTTGTTCCTTCAGATTGTTTCAAACTATGGAACAGAACTCTTCTCCAGGCTGAGGGACTGACAACCTCAAATCTCTGACTACAAGGGTGATGGACTGATTACATCGTCTTCACATCTCTACTGCTCCTGCCTACTTTTGTACTCGACTGAAGAAGCCTACTGTGTAGGTGAAACATTTCGGAATAAAGTTGCCTAACTGTTGCCCATTTGTCTTACCTACCAACCTGTCAGTATTGTATACCATTTTAATATTCAAAAACATTACTTAATCCGATTATTACTTAATCCAATGATGTTTTAATCAGGGGTCCACTGTACTGGCTTCCTTTTTACACTCACTTGGTAGGATGGTAGTACCTCCCTGAACTGTTGCTGTCTACCAACCTACTACCTAGTAAATACTATACAAAATATACACAATATACAAATATGCAAAATACAATATACAGTGGACCCCCGCATAGCGAACGCCTTGCATAGCGAACAATCCGCATAGCGAACGCTTTGTTCGCCAAAATTTTGCCCCACATAGTGGACAAAAACCCGCTCAGCGACCTTCGTCCGAGACGCGTCCAATGTGCGGCCTCAGCCAGCCTCACATGTGCCTCCCGTCCCATTGTTTACCAGCCAGCCTCCGCGGTAACATTCAAGCATACACTCGGAATATTTCGTATTATTACAGTGTTTTCGGTGCTGTTTCTGGAAAATAAGTGACCATGGGCCCCAAGAAAGCTTCTAGTGCCAACCCTGTGGTAAAAAGGGTGAGAATTAGTATGGAAATTAAGAAAGATTTTGAAGGGTTTGGGGCTAACCCTGAGAAGCCTATGCCAGTTGTGGAATCCATTGTGCCTACTTCAAAAATTAAGGAAATGTGTGCACAGTGGGTTGAACTGCAAACCTTTATGGATGAAAATCACCCTGACACAGCTGTTGCAAGCCGTGCTGGTGACTATTTCAATGACAATGTTATGGCCCATTTTAGACAAATCGTAAAGGAACGGGAGGTACAGAGCTCTATGGACAGATTTGTTGTGCGACAGAGGTCCAGTGACTCTGAAGCTGGTCCTAGTGGCATTAAAAGAAGAAGGGAAGTAACCCCGGAAAAGGACTTGCTACCTCAAGTCCTAATGGAAGGGGATTCCCCTTCTAAACACTAACACTCTCTCTCCCCTCCTCCCATCCCATCAATCATCACCAGATCTTCAATAAAAGTAAGTGTCATGTAATTGTGCATGCCTTTTTCAGTTTGTGTGTACTAAAATTAACATTTTTTTGTGGTAAAAAAAATTTTTTTTCATACTTTTGGGTGTCTTGCACGGATTAATTTTATTTCCATTATTTCTTATGGGGAAAATTAATTCGCATAGCGAACATTTCGCATAACGACCAGCCCTCTTGCACGGATTAAGTTCGCTATGCAGGGGTCCACTGTACAAAATATACACACTCATTACTGTGTCAACTGTATATACAGAACATTAAACTCCACTATCAACTCACACTTCTCCTAGACAGCTTCAACAGAACACACAGGCATAACACTAGGCACAAAACCCTTTTTGACATCCTCCTGTCTATCTTACACTATACAAAAATGCAATGCACATAAAGGGTCCGAAGATCTGGAACTCTTTGCCTGAAACAGCAAGAGGTCCCCTGCCCACAAATCAGTTGAGGACCTCACTCAAAAATCATCTCATCTTTCAATAACAACTCTTCCAAATATTTTATTATCCCTTAACCATTAAGCCATCATTACAAACTTAAAAATTTGTTGTGTAAGAAAGGTATAAAATACCGACAATATGAAAGTTAAGACACATGTGCAACATCTGGATATCTTTATTGTAGACGTTTCGCCATCCAGTGGCTTTATCAATACAGATTCTAGGACATAATAGGAAGACAGTAGAACTATATACAAAAGATGAGGTAATCAGTCCCTCGGCCTTGGAGTTAGTGTTCACAGCATCGTGGTGGAGGAGAATCTAACTTTATTATTTTTTAAATACACTACCTAACAGAATACTCCATTCTACTGAATGTACAACAATGCATACAACCATATGACCTGTCTTTGTAATACTCACTTGTGCTTTATAGTAACCTGTTTACATTAATGTTTTATCACTGATTTCATCATTGCTTAGTTAATCTTAAGTTAATTTTAAGCCAGCCCGTAATGCTATGCATAGTATAAGTGGCTTTGGCATACTGCTCTTACCTGTATTTGTTGTACCTCTGTATGTGTGCTCAAATTTTTAAATAAATAAATAAATAAATAAAGACAAGAAGACTGGCGCCTATATAAACGTCAGTCTTCTTGCCTTTGCTCCAGATTCTCCTCCACCACGATGCTGTGAACACTAACTCCAAGGCCGAGGGACTGATTACCTCATCTTTTGTATATAGTTCTACTGTCTTCCTATTATGTCCTAGAATCTGTATTGATAAAGCCACTGGATGGCGAAACGTCTACAATAAAGATATCCAGATGTTGCACATGTGTCTTAACTTAAAAATTTGTGTTTGTATCATTAATTGTACTACTTCACATTAATAAAAGAGTAAAATACTGAATATTTGTATACTACCACTCTTCACCCATCTAGACTTAAGTAGTCTATAAGTATTAGGTTAAGTCTGCCTGAAATGCCTGGGTATGATAGTGGTTTTTTTTGGTACCAGTCAGATTATGAAATGTAAAACACACAGTGTAACCGTAGCAAAGAAATAAAATTTTATTTTATTTTTCATTTTATTTTATGACTAGCAATCTGTTACTGAGCAGTAAAAAACATGTTTTATGTGTATATTGTTAAAAAATACCTAAATCATGCATACAGCATAGTACAAAATTGTGAAAGAGGTTAATTTTTCTTACCTATAGAAGGCTGAAGTGCCTGGATGACATTAGTGTAAGTAGCAGCCCCTGTGGTTGTCATGCCCACTACTGCTGCATGTCTCATGATGTGCAGGTACTCTTGATCTTTGATCTCTCTCCAAGATTTGCTGGTGCGTTTAAATTCTTTCTCAGCCTCTAATAGCTTCTTCTTTACTTTTTCAGCAAGTCTACTTAACCATAACTTGTATAATGCCCAACGACTCTGAAAGTCTAACTTTCTGAAGTTAACATTTTCAAGGACTTTTACTTGTTCTGTGTTTCTTGGCAAGGTCTTTAAACCTATTTTCAGAACCTGTAACTTCTTTATGATGGCTACAACTCCAGGGTTAAAGTCGCTCATATCATCATCTTGTCGGAGATCATCTAAACTTTCTTCTAGTGTCTTTGCTTTTATTTCATATTTAAGTATATCATGAGCTGTAACACCAGTTTTCAATTCCTCTACAAGATCTTCGTCATCCACCAATCTGTCACGTTCTTCATCGGCATACAAATCCTCAAGATCTTCCTGCCAGACATCTTCATTACTTTTAAATCCACTGTTAAAGTCTAACTGGTTGGTGATAATACTTTTAGCTGCAATTTCTTCCATATCTTCTCGAGTGCAGAGATTTTCGTCTAAAAGCCAAGTCTGCAAGTTCATTCCCCTAAACTGTTGAAGTACAGTATCAGGTAATATGTCTTCTGATGAAAAAACATCAAGTCTCAGGATTCCACTTGGTGACAAAAGTTCTTGCACTACTCTTCTCCATGATTTAACATCTGATTCCAATTCCCTTATTTGCCACATTAAATTGTTGTTCATTTCATAAACATCAGCTGGAAGTTCTTTCCGTGATCTAAGAGCCTTTACAAGTTTGTTTATTTGGAATTCATCAATGATCTCACTCTTGGATCTTGAGCCCACACGTACAATGCTATTTGTGTAATGGCTCATTCCTTCCAGAAACTGATCAAGAGCATGATTAGTAAAACACACTACTAATATTGGCGAAGCCTGGTTTGGGTTCTTCCAGTATTGACTATTGTGAAGAAGTACTTGAGATATTTTGAGACCAATAAATGTCTTTCCAGTGCCTGGGGGACCTTGAATGATAGAAAGTTTACTAACAAGAGCACTTCTAAGTGCTCGGCGTTGAGAGTCATCTAAACCAAGTGCATTTTCAGTGGGCCAGTATGGAAGCTCACTCATAACCATCACATTCTGAAGTTGTGGCAGATATTCATTTTGCTCTTCTGTGGTCTTATTAATGTGTTTGAATAGTTTACTGCTAGCCTCTGACTCTTTCATCATACTTGCACTCTGCATTACACGAAGATCATACACTGCATGTTGTGCCAAGTAACTTGGAGGTCTCATATGCGGTTCAACATGAACAATAAAGGACTCCATTGGGAATGAATCCTCTATGATACCTTGAAGAGCAAAGAGAACATGTTTATAGGCCACAAAGTATGATCTTGTTTCTGCCATAACAAATACTGAATCTTTATGCAAGTCAATGTCTGAATCAAACTTTACTCCAATTATTCCATTTTTCAGCTTTTCTGAATTTCTGTCACACACTGATCCAAGAAACAGAGTGCAAAAATTATCATTACTTAAGCATAGCAGATTACCAAAGAGCAGTCTCTTTGAACTTTCAATTTTGAAATTCTTTGGTAGATTGAGTTTTATGTAATGAATCATTTCAAAATTCTGAATGTCCTCTCCAACAATTTTCACATTTTCATAGATCCAAATGTCTCTGTTCTGGGAATGTGACTTGCATCTGAACTCATTTATGCCATTTCGGAGGGGTCTCACGAAGTCTTCTCTGAGCAATCGAAACTGTACATCCAAATAATGGTTAACATTTGAGTATTTGCCTTGAACAATATTTCTGCGAAGAAATGGCTCAACATTATCATTAAGATCTTCTGCTGTGGGCAAGACTGATAACTCTCTGAAATCATTTGGAGGTGCAAGGTCATCTTCCCATCTGCCTCTGTGTCTTTTCTTGTGTTCTACATATCCTGACTCTCCCAGTCTCTGCTTATATTCTTCAAGAAAATGTTTGATTTCTTGGTATTTTCTCAGAAAAGAATTTTCTTCTTGTAAAGTCGACATCTTTTGAATATTCATGATACAACTTTCAAGCAACAATGTGATACTGTCAGAGGCATGAGTGGGCATAGCATTTGCATAAACATTCAAAACATTACAAAGCTCATCAAAATATGTTTCACTATTTTCACTATATGCTTCTAATCCAAATTCAATGGAAAAACTTATCAGACGATTAATAAAATTTTTTTTAAATGTTATGCTAAAAAGCTTATATAAATTCTCTCGGTTTGATCGGGTCTCTGATGCATGTGATAAAACCTTCATTAATAAGCATATTTTATCTGGGGTGATGTCTTCCTCTTGATCAATGAGCAAATCATATCCTGACATTGCCATCTGGAGCTGCATTACCACTTCATCAGGATAAAGGGTAAGCATTCGTTCTAAAGCTTTATATCCCATGGGATGTTCTCGCTTCTTTCTGGTACCTCCATAGTTAGCTTTTCCTTTTGACTTTGTGTTCCCATCATTTGTACTACTCAAATCACCCAAACTCTGTGCACCTCTTTGTGTATTCGCTCTACCACGACCACGTGGTGGATTAGGAAACCTTCCTCTTCCTGTGAAGTATCTGCCCCTGACATGATGTTCTTGTCCAGGCTGGAGCCTCTCATTTTCATTGTTTTGTCCTGGCCTAGAAGTAAATCCATTTCCTCTTGGAGTGCTCCGCCACATTCCTCAAGTTACTGAAAAATAAATAAATTATAAAATGTTAGAGACAATCACTGCCGAAATCTGGAAACTACAATTGTACCTTTTCTACAGTACAGTTAATTGAAATATATATATATGTACAGTGGAACCCCGTGTTTCAGCCATCCTGAGTATTGGTCAATTTTGAGTTTCGATCGCTTTTTTTGGCCAAATTGTGTCCCAAGTTTTGGCCATTGCCCCATGTTTCAGCCGGCGTACACAACCTGTCCCCCTGACTGAACTTGCGCACCTTCCTGCACAGGTGTCATAAGTCAGTCTAGTGCTGTTTATCCTTGAGTGAACATTACCCTGCACACTCATCCAAACATTTCACAACAAATTTATTGTGTTTAGCACTTATTCATTAATTGTGACTGTAAAATAAGCCACCATGGCCCCAAAGAAACTTCCTAGTGGCAGCCCTGTAGTAAAGAAAGTGAGGAACATCATAGAAGTGAAAAAAGAAACTGTAGAAAAATATAAGTGGCATTCGTATGGGGGAGCTTGCCAGGATGTATGGCAAAAACAAATCAACTATCACTTCTATCCTGGTGAAGAGAAAAGAACTTAAGGAAGCTGATGTTGCCAAAGGTGTTGACATGTTAACCAAAAATAGATCACAAACAGTGAAAGAGGTTGAGAAGTTGTTAGTGGTGTGGATCAACAATAAACAGATAGCAGGTGATAGTGTTTCGAAGTCAATCATTTGTGAGAAGGCAAGGCAATTGCATGCCGATCTTATAAAGAAAATGCCAGGAACCAGTGCTGATTTTAGTGACTTTAAGGCCAGCAGAGAGTGGTTTGACAGATTTAAAAAGCATAGTGGCATACACAGTGCTGAAAGGCATGGTGAGGCAGCCAGTTCAAACAAATGGGCGGCTGAAAAATTTGTTCATGAATTTAAGGGGTATGTAGAGACTGAAAAATTCAAACCCCAACAAGTGATCAGTTGTGACGAAACAGGCCTGTTTTGGAAGAAAATGCCAAAGAGGACCTACATTACTCGGGGAAAAGGCACTGCCAGGATACAAGCCTATGAAAGACAGGCTAGCTCTTTTCTGTCCTATAGCTAGTGGGGATTTTAGAGTGAAGCCTTTACTGGTGTATCACTCAGAAAATGCCAGAGAGTTTAAGAAAAACAATGTCATCAAGAATAAATTGTGTGTCTTATGGAAAGCAAATAATAAGGTGTTATGGGGCTATAAGACCCAACATGTATTTATGTATCTGTAACAGTTACTCTGGAATACCTAATTATAATGAACTAATGGGGGCACGACTGCTTAAATGTCAGAAAGCCAGATCACCCTTATGGCTGTAAGGCAGCTGAGTCAAGCCTGTTTTTCTCAATATAATGGAGTATACTATAGACAAACAAACACACAATTTAAATAAGTAGTTTATAAAGTTGTATTTCTTTTTGTAAGAATAAAATAAGGTGTGATAGAGAATTGTGCTTGGCAACAGTCTTTTGTTATTTTGGTGGCTTCAAGCTGGTAGAACCTCTGTCCTTCTTTATATTTTTTGGGCATTATGAGTGCCCCAGGGATGAGTTTTATACCTTAAGTTGTAGCCATCATACCCAGGGGTGACTATGGTGTGTCAAAACACTGGTTAGTCCAGAGATTAGTCAAGAAGAAAGAAGGGCAAATTGCTCAGATGCACCATGTGGGCTGTCCTAGAAGATTATTATTATTATAATCAAAAAGAAGCGCTAAGCCACAAGGACTATACAGCTTGTCCTAGAAGAGCACCTAAGGGGTGTGCAGGCTTGTTTTCTATATTGTATATTCTGTATATATTTACCTGAATATATATATTTTTGTAATATCAGTTTAAATAACCTGTGAAGAGGGCTGGAGAAAGGATTTCAGAGACACTGAGAAGAATCAAATATGAAAGTATTACCCTAGACTGACAAAGCCTTAATGTAAAAGCTACCCCACACTAGAACATGTAGTGAAAACCATACCATCAAAGTAAATAAGGGACAACAATGTAACATGGGAGCTTGACCAGGAGAGTTATTTGACTGCTAAAATAACTCAAAACATTCTTTGAACTATATGTACAGGTATGGAGTAACAACAGTTGCATGTTTCTGGTAGAAGATTTACCAAGGTTTTCAGCAGAAGTGTTGTTTCATGTCCCTTAAACTGTCCAAACGTAGATCTATGTTTTTTTTCAACATTTGAAAGTAGTATGTAAAAAACGAACATCTTTTTTTTTTTTTACATTTGAAAACATGTAAAAAAAACTTTGATCTACATTTTTTTTTGTTATATTTGAAAATATGTAAAAAAAACATAGATCTACTTTTGGAGCACTATGCATGTGAATGTAGATCTGTTTGGACAGTTTAAAGGATATATTAGTTTACAGGTTGTTTTTCTCCTAAGGTGGGAGAAAGGTTGAGTAACACATTTTTGTTGTGGTTATGGTAAGTGCTATGTGCATAGTTTACATTTGACTTGTGTTATTTTATGTGCCCGTGGGAAAACTTTGTCCACTGATACTGTAAGATGGAAGCAAGTGTTTAAAGATAAAAACTATGTCAGAAGATGAGTCTTCAGACTTTTCAGGCTTCAGGGAGGAGGGTAATAATTCATCAGTAAACATGCCTGTTAACAGTGAACATGAGGGATCACCTACTCCAGGTGATATGGAAATGGAGATGATGAGACTTAAAGAAGCTGTGCTAGAGGCTGAAATGAAATTAATGAAAGCTAAAATGGAAGAATGTCAAAGGTCAGGATGTTCAGAACAAGAGCCTGAGCAGTATTTTAACATAACTAAAGCTGCAAATTTTGTCCCTAAGTTTACACAGAGTGACCCAGATAGATATTTTTATTTTTTTGAAGACTGCTTTGTAGCAAGGATGGCCCAAACAGAAGTGGGCTACCCTAGTTCGCACGCAGCTTGTGGGTAAAGGATTCCAGAGAGTAGAGACTCTGGAAGGGGACAAATTTTCTGACTATGATAAAATTAAGGAGGAAGTATTGCTTGCATACCAACTGATACTTGAGAAATATAGACAAAAGTTCAGAAATCAAAAATTTTGGGATGGGCAGACCTTAACTGAGTTTGGGAATGAGAAAATGTTCCTTTTTAAGTAATGGGTTTGCTCTAAAGGAGTTAATAAAGACTATGACAAATTAGTAGATCTCATGGTTCATGAGGAATTGTACAATACAATCCCTGTTGACCTCAGAGAGTATCTGGAGGACAAAAACCTGGATAATCTTTCAGAAGCACTGGATTTGGGTGACAGATTCTTGGCTCGCAGGAAGCTGGTAAGTAAAAACAGTCATGCTCCTTCTGAAAATTTCCCCACATGTTCTAAACCACATTCCAAGTCCTATGGTCATAAAGGTAAGTGGGACAAGAATTTTCAGGGCCAAACAAAGGCTGAGGCACCCTCTAAAATAGAAGGAAAAGGTAAGTCAGCTGGAGCTAAAAGTTTACCTAGACAATCAGATAACGTTTCAGGTCCTCAGGTAAACAGTACCAGTCCTACACAAAATGGTAAAAACACCTTTAAGAGTTATGCCTGTTACTACTGTAACAAAACTGGACACACAAAAGTTTTGCTGGTCAAGATGGCGAGATCAGGAAAGGGAGGAACCATTCCAGGGGACCCTAACTGCATAGATACATCCAGTTGCCTGCATTAGGTCTTCAAAACAAGGATCTATACCCCAGGATGTGTGTATTTTCTAGTAGGTCCACAGTTGGTTTGCAAAAGGATGTAGGCAGAGTTGAGAACATACTGTCCTTAACCCCTTCAGGGTCCAAGGCCAAAATCTGAAGTGGTGCTCCAGTGTCCAAGAAATTTTGGAAAAAAAAAAAAAAAAAAAAAATTCTTACAGAATTAGAGTATATTTTTGTGAAGGTAATAAGACAAAAAAAAAATTTTTTGATCAGTACTTACCGAGATACAGTGCCGAGAAGTTTACCCCAAATTACGTGGTGGTGGCAGCAGCAACGATTTCCACATACACACATTACTTTATTTACCGTTTTTTGTAGTTTTTTCTTTTCTTTTCTAATTTTTTTCTTTTCCTACTAACATTTGGGGCCTGAGAGACCAATACTGTATATAATGTATATATATAAACTCACTGTATTGAACACAATAACTGCACTAAAGTTATTATCATATTATTGTTTACCACTGTTGTTTATTACAATAAACATGCACAAATCTTGTATAATACTAATGTTCTATCATATATTTACATATTTACAATCACTGGACATGGTTTTAGAACTGCTGGAGCTTGTGGAACTCCTTGAAACAAGGCACCATGCACAGAGGTACCTTACATTCCTCACACATAAACCGAGTGTCTTTGCATCTTTGTTGCCGTCATTTTGTTTGTGCACAGACGATGCATCTCTTCTGAGCAAATTTCTTCTGAGTTGAAGGAAGCTGTATTATGAAATAATCACCTTCCCTCCTCAAATGCTTGGGTATATCCTGAGGAGTTCGAGGACCTTGTTGTATAGCAGGTGTTCTTACCTGGTACTTCATTATGAGTTGTCTGACAACAGACAAACAAAATTCACCATACGGTGGTCTGTTGCCAGTCTTCATTTGGCACAAATTATATGCATTGAGCATTGAAATGTCCATGAAATGGAAGAAAAGTTTCATGTACCACTTGTAACTTTTACGAACACAAACAACAAAGCCAATCTGCTTGTCACATTTGTCAACCAAGCGCATGTTTTGTGTATAATCAATCACTGTCACTGGTTTTTGAATACGTTCATTAGTCACTCGATCAACTTTGCCACTGTCTTGCATTTCATTACGGTGAATGGTTGTTAACAATGTGACATCTCGTTTGTCATGCCACCGTAATGCCATGATGTCATTGGCAGTAAACACCTGCACGTCATCACCACAAGCACCTGCGTTGAGCCTGGGCATATGTTTATGATTAGAACGCACTGTGCCACACACATCTGTCTTGTTCACTCGCAAGA